TGTATCACATACATTTTCCCATTTATGATAGCCTAAGCCTTTCTTAACAGTAATAATAAAAAAAGGGGGTAATTTCCCAAAGTAATAAATAAATAAACAGATAAATAAATAAATCTCAGTTGCAGGTGTCTAGAGTCTAGAAATTCCTCTTATTAATGGTGTTGAAGTTCCTCATGTCTCTTCTTGGGTGTCATACTGTGTCCATTCCCCCCTCATATTCATAAAAATGTATTTTAGTCTAAGAATGAAAGTCATTTGCTCCATCTCATAAATTTCCCCAACAATATTCATTCATTGTTGTATGAAGAGAGCAGCTAACTGGTACCAGTTTCTTGTTATAGCTTTTTTGCAGGCAATTAACAGTATCTTAATCAAGTACGTGTCTTTATTCAAAACGCTTTTTTTTAATGTTTCCCAGATACATTGTCTTAAAATCTGTGATGTTTTAGCCTTTTTCATAAATTAACTTTGTTCTTAGGCAGCGAACAAGCTGTCTGCAGCGACAGGACGACGCAGCCTTCCGTTGTGTATGGACGTCAGGCAGCCTGAGAGCATCAACGCTGCTGTGGATGAGACGCTCAAAGAGTTTGGTCACATAGACATCCTTATCAACAGTACGTGGCATCTTCTGCACAAAACTGCTTGTGATAAATTCAGGTTATCTGTCGTGTGCTTTGTATTTTGTTGTGAAACTCGCAAAACACAATGTGTGCAGCACGAACGGTTTAATTGCAGTTTACAGTGTCTGCTGAACAAAGTTCATCGGTGAGGATTTTGGTTTAATCATCTACTTTTTTCTCTGCGTTGCTCAGTCTTCTGCGCCTTCACAGACTATTGACTCGCTGCAGGATTATTTATCTAATTCAATCCAGATCATAATAACTACAAAGTATTCCATAGAGGAATGTATGTCAAACCTTGAAAACAAATTGTTGTGCAATCTCGTGACATTATGAGATGTTGCCCTCGGAGTTTGTGGTGCGGATGACTCTCAGCTACTACCTAGCTGCAAACTCTAAAATTTATTCTTGTGTCGTAATTTAGCCTTATTTTTCAAATGCACAGATGCAGCTGGAAACTTCCTCTGCCCTGCTTCTGCGCTCTCCTTCAATGCCTTCAAAACAGTTCTTGAGATCGACACCATGGGCACATTCAACACCAGCAAAGTGGTTTATGAGAAGTGGTTCAAGGTAAATGTCCCTCTCTGTTGCAGAGCACAAGTATAAGGAGATAAAAATTAGTTATTAATATTTAGGTATGCATTGTGACCCTGATGGTGTAAAATCCAATTCCCACAATAAAACAAAACACAAAACCGATTAAAAAAAAATAAAATAAAAAAGGTTTGTAGGCTCAATCATCCAGGTACATAAATCATGTCATCTGGACTGATTCTTTTTGGAAGAAACGTTTCGTCTTTCGTCCAAAATACTTCAAGACACAAAACAAACGCACAACATTAAAACAAAAATGTAACAAGAAAAGTTTGATAGAACAGTTCTTCTCTGAAAACAAAACGCCTTACATACAAATACAAACCCTGTTTTGTTTGAAACATTTAAATAATAATGAACAATAACAATAATTCATGAAGTATGGAGACTGGTTGCTTGGTGGTCAGTGCTGCAGTCATGTAATCCTGAGGCTGCAGGTTTGAGTCCAGGTTGAGTCTGAAAGGGCATTTCAAGGTTCTTTAACATTTGCATCACATGTGGTACATGAGGTGGAAGGAAATTGTGTACTCAAGGTCCCAGTTACACTCAAAAATATCAAAAATATAAAGTAAATAAAGAAACAGTATAAAAGGATCTAAGATATACACTAAACGCTAATAATGTAAAATAATACGTACCATATTTTTTGGACTATAAGGCGCACTTAAAATCCTTTAATTTTCTCAAATATCGACAGTGAGCCTTATAATCCGGTGCGCCTTATGTATTAATTCTGGTTGTGCTTACTGACCTCGAATCGATTTTATGTGGTTATTGTGAATGAGATGAATAAAGTTTGACTTATTTGACTGTTTTGTCAAACCTGCCAACCCAGATCTGTCCCAAGCCACCCTCCTGCTGAATTCCAATAAACCGGCTTCTAACATGTAAAAACGGGACCGTCCATCCAAAACGATCAATCATCATGCAATGACAATCAAATGCTTTAGACCAGATGGTCAACTTGCTACTCACAGAAACAGCCTGAGGAACACAAAGGCCAAAATGGTTCAGAAAAAGGTTTGTAAGCTTCTTTCTTCTGTAAGTTTCTTGGAATTCAACAGGAGGTTTGCTTGAAACACAAGGAGGTGCTATTTATGGGACAGATCTGACTTGGCAGGCCTCAGACTGATGTTGTCTTTTGAATGAAAGATGAAACATTTCTCCCTTAAAGAAACTTGTCCAGATGATATGATTTAACTTTTTTTTTTTTTGTGATTTATCTACCTGGATGATTGAGCTTACAAACCTTTTACATATTGAAACGTTCTTCTATTTGTCTTTTTAATGTATATTTCCTTTTTTAATCATATTTTGGTGTTTTTTTTTCTCTCTTGTGTTTCTAATGTGTCTTTCCATCCATACATGCATTCAATCATTCAGTCTCTTTACCCGCTTCTTTATCTTGCTTGTGTTTAATTTGCTGTTGTGATTTTGGTTGTGATATCTGTCTAAAGTTGCTGTTTAATGCACTTTAAATCCCTAGATCACTGAGTCTTTTGCTATTTTAAGATGGGAATTCATTATCTTTCTGTATTTAGAAGCTGATGGGATTCACTTATGTATCAATAATGAGTGTGTGTGTGTAGGATCATGGTGGCAACATAGTCAACATCTCTGCGACGCTTGCATACAGAGGACAGGCCCTCCAGGTGCATGCTGGTTCTGCCAAGGCAGCAAATGGTGAATGTTTTTAGCCTGATGTAAAATTAGTATCATGTCACGCAGAATGAAGTAAAAATGTGAACTCTGGTGACTTTTGTTGTTCATCTTGTCCCCAGATGCCATGACAAAGCACTTGGCTGTAGAGTGGGGGCCCAGTGGGGTGAGGGTCAATGCCGTGGCTCCGGGGCCGATCTCTGGTACTGAGGGCTTTCGCAGACTCGGTAAAAATTAAGCACACATGCTCTCATACAGTTTTTAGAGAATGTTTTTCTGGAGATATTGTTTCATGCATTCGTCTGTCAACACAGTTGAACTGCACCTGTTAGAATCACGAATCATTTGTAACAAAAATCTAAATAACTTTATCTGAAGTTTAGTTTTTTTTTCTTTTACAACTATCAGGTGGCTCTCATGCAGAGGCTGCCCAGTCCTTCCAGTCCATTCCTCTGCAGCGAGCTGGGAACAAGACGGAGATGGCTCACTGTGCTCTCTTCCTGGCGAGCCGTGCGTCCTCCTACATGACCGGAGCCATCCTGGTGGCGGATGGCGGAGCATGGTTGACCTCGGCCAACGACGTCTCCATGCTGTTGGGTATAGCCTCCTCTAAATCTGCTAAGCTCTGAGCTGGGGCTCTCCTGTCCTCCTCCTGACTCAGGTGTGTAGGAGGAGGCACAGTGTTTTTGAGCTTTCTCATGTGTTGCTTAATGTCACAGCAACACTTGAAATATAACTAATAAATGCATTTCTGTTTTTGCAGGTTATTGGTCTGCTGCAAAGAAAACAGACAAGTGAACAAGCAAAATTCAACATGTTAATTAAGTACTGATCAGCTTAATTGATCATTTTAGTGTTTTCCTCCTGCTTTTTGATGCCTTAAGATCTAAAACACTAACAGAACTGTATATTTTATATTATCAAATAATGTAATTGTTAAGATTATTTTTCATATTCCAGTCGCCAGTGTTCCTTATTTCTGTGTTCAGTATTATCAAACATTTCATTTGCTGTCATGTTTATAAACCAAATGTTTGTAGCATATCAATAATAAAACTTGTATGACTTGCATTGCAACCTCTGTATGCTGTCGTCATTCTGATCAAATTGTTTTATTGTAAGCAGAAAAAAGTCTGTACGTTATTTAGCAAATTATTTAAAGCCTTTATTTACTTCAAGTAGAAAATTGGAAGCATAGCAAATGGTAAACTGTTTTTTAGGGTAACTAGTTTTTTATTTGATACCATTTTATGCCCAAGATCATCTTATGCTGCAAAATGATAGTTGTAGCTATTTTAGTCAAAACAAAGCAATAATACGCAACATCTCTTTTGATATTTTATGTGATGTAACTATGATCACTGTTAGATTACTCTTAGCTACTACAGCAGCAAACTTCAGCTCAATATTTGTAAAATTGAGTTATAGCCATTTTTGTGTAAGCAAAGGCTGATTAGCAGTGGTAGCCATCTTGAATTGGGTTCGTGCTAAATGTTAATCAGTTTTAATTATGCATTCTATTTATTTTTTTCCTGAAAGTTTAAGGAAATCTGTCAATGGTTCATGAGATAATTTGTGAACAGAGCTGAACCCAACAGTTTAAAAGCAAAGTTTTAACAACACGTTTTGTACAATCAGTTATAATTCAGAGTATATGTTGGGGAAACTCTCAGCTACTTCCACACCAAATTTTAGCTCAACATTCACGGAAAAGTAGACATTTAAAAAAAAAAAAAAGTCCCTGCATAGAAGATGCATGAGAGCGTAAACAGTATTTATTTATGATGAGGTGCAGTACTGGTAGAAGCCAGATAGGGGCGCCAACACATTACAAATTACCTTTAGTAATAACAAATCTGTGCAGTTTTAGAAAGCTATTGGTATTCATGTTTTATAAAATTATTGAGTAGAGCTAGTAAAGACAAATAATAACCCGCTGGTGGGTTCTCAGCTCTAAATAATAGTTTACTTAAGGCTTATTATTATTAACGTAATCATTGTATTGAATGAGCTGAGCATTTTTTTCCTGAAATGTGGCCTTCTTTGGCATATATGCAACAAGCTATATTAAAAAAAAAAAAAAAAAAACGTGCTTTAAGCACAAACGGAAATATTGAAGCCCCAGTTGTGCCAGTGACACTGCGGGGTATTTTCTGCGCATGCGTGAAACGTCAGCGGTGGATGTATGCGGCTGGAGGAGGAGAAGGAGGACGCTGCTGATGCTGATGCGAGAGAGCTCTCGGCGTTCTGCGATCCAACACCGATGGACTGACTCCCTTTCACGATGGAGTTCCTTCACTTTAGCTCGCACTCGAGTCGTTTCCTCGCGAGTCTGGACGCAGGACAACGAGACAGGTGAGACTTGAGACGAGGACGGCGGAGGAATCTGAGGAGGAATTAACGGTTTCGACTCGTCACTCTCTCTCGGCCTGTCTCGTCTTGCCCTGGACACAGGTGGATCGCCGCTGGATAAAGGGTGGGATAAAATGAAGAAATAACACAGCCCTACGAATGGACAGCAATGTATCTTATTTTTAATACAGAGAGCTGACATTGTATTTCATTTAATCAGGCGGAAAAGCGCTGAGCCGTTCGCCGTGTTGGAGGCTAATTTCTGTAGCTAGTCGGTTAGCGTCCTCCACCAATGGCCTCGCAGAAGGGAGGAGTTAACGTCTGTCGGACATGAAACCGTTTAACAGACAGACCAGATAAATACACGTGCTCTCCCGCTTTGTAATGATAATTAAAACCTTGCCGCTCGAGGTTATTTGGTGTTTGAAAACCGCTGTCGGCTCCCTGCTGTGGACAAGATGATCGGCTAAGAAAGCTAATGTTGACAAACACCCGTAACTGACCCGGCGCGTTAATTGGCGTCATTTTAAAAGGGTCTCGTGACAGTTTAACGTTGCGTGGCTTCAGGTGTGAGCCGTCGCTTCGGCTGTCGAGCAAATCGAGCCGACCTGAAGCTTGTTGACGGCGGATGTGCAAATTGACAACCAACAGCGAAGCTGCCATGACAGGAACAATGCACAGTGTGAGTCAAAACCTGTCCAAGTGAAAGTTAATTTAGGCTCAGAATGAACAGGATAGGTGACATCTTGTTAAAGCTACTGGTACTATTTTGTATTACTTGTCAAATATCCTAATAATAACAATTAGCTTGTCCACTTATGAGGTGCCATATAAAGGCATGGCGTTAAAGCTGAGGAGCTGCGTCCTGACGATTTGTCAGATAAAATGTTTCAGGTGTTGAGTTTGTGAAGAGGACTAACCTAAATGGAGCCGACAGTATTGTCTGGCCCTTTGGGGCACACTCAGTGGGAGTCCGAGCAGCCATTTCCTCTGGGATTTCAAACCACAAACAATGGAGGTGTGCTCTGCCCAAACCAGAGTGGCCAGACAGGTTTGGATGATGAGGATGAAACTTTCGCAAAAAGTGAGGAGGAAGATCTTTTCGCTCACAAGCCGTTTGAGCTTGACAGCTTTATAAAAATCTCTTCTTTTTCTTGTGGGGATTTGCATTTTGATGGACAGTCTGTAGTTTCCCATCCTTCTGTTCATAGTGCTCATTTACAGGAATTGTCCTGTGAGAAGAGTCAAGGACTTGATGGAATTAGTGACTGCACGTTGTCGTGGCTGTTTTCTTCCAATTTTCCTGAGGTGTCTGAAAAAACAACTGCCAGTAAGGAGGTGACTTTTACACAAAAGTCCTCTCCCGAGGGCTCAAATGTCCTTGGTGGTCAGGCTGACCTGCTGAACCTCAGTGTGCCATCTTCTCCAGTTTCCATTAGGAATCCAGAGACTAATGCAGGGGATCAATTTTTGCTTGTAGACCTCTCAGATGAACTTTCTTGTCTCACGCGGGAATCTGCAAGTGAGCTACAGGGTGTTGCTGAGGAGCAGGCTGGTCTCCCTCCCTTACAGACTTTGTTACCTGAAACTGGAGACAAAGGTTTATTCCCTGATCAAGTGACTGATCTGCCTATAACGTGTTGCACTACGGTGCAAGGTTTACCAGAAAGCTGCCAGCCGCCTAGCCACATCAGCACACCACAGGAGCATTTAGAAGGATTTGTGCCTTTGTTGGATTTGGATGTTCCAGATTTTGACAGTAACTTCTGTCCTGCCAGTCCTGCGTCTGATGTCTGCTCAGGTACCCAGTTGGAGGTGGCGAATGCAGGAGCTGCTTTAACTGGACATCTTCTGGAGGAGAAAAGTGAGAATGAGTCACTTGCTCTGAGTTTGCCAGACAAGCCCTCTCCACTAACACTGCCTCTGACTCAAGATGCCTGCTGTCACGATGATCTCACCAGTGAGAGGAACTCCGTGGAAAACATCTCGGAGGATTTGATGGACAACAGCTTGTGTGTCGAAGCAAGAAATCAGGAGAACGGGGACATGGCCTTGGATCTGTGCTTGACTGTTGAGGAAGTTCACGATAATGATGAGTCTTGGAACTTGAAACTACATGAGGATTTAAAAACAGGAAGTCCGAGAGCCGAGCAGAGGGAAGTGGCGAGGTTGACGGACACTAACCAGCTTGAGGATTCAGATCATCATGAAGTGGCTCCTTTCGATTTTTCAGTTCAGGACATTGACGTTTCTTCTCCAGAAACTGGATGGACTATTGAGCAGGCTGTGGAGACGATTTCCCCCTCCAAGATGGTGGGAGATGACTCGCTGCCAATGGTCTCGGATGTAAATACAAGAGACGAGGATGTGTCTCCTCTGAAAGCTGTATTTGATGCTTTGGACCAAGATGGAGATGGCTTCGTTCGTGTTGAAGAGTTTATGGAGTTTGCGACTGCCTATGGGGCCGATCAGGTGAGATGCCTCGTCATTGTGTTCTTTTTCCCCCATAAGGGCCTCTCTTGTGGGCATTGCATGCTGAGTGAAACTCCATGTAAATTGATACGACTCCATTCATTATTGATTTTCCACCCCTAGAAGCATTACCAGTACTTCAGGAAGCCAGTTTAATTCCATCACTTGGAGCTGGTCTACTGATTTCACTCCTCTGTCAGCGTTGTAGGTTTTGTAGGATCGAAACATGTTAAGATGTTTAAGTTGTAACGGCTGAAAGTTTGTTACAAAGATTAGAACAAAGTAAACGTTTCCTGTGAACTCTGAGTCCCAATTTTTAAAAAATACTTTGATGAATTTCATTGGGATTACAAAAGAGCAGTATATTAAACCATGCCTGGATTAGCGTTGTTTATCTGGTGTGTGTTCAAACGCTTGGGTGGATTAGAAGTTGGATAAATCTGTCAACCATATTGTCTGTCATTATTTCAGTCAGGTCTAGATCGCCTCCATATGTCGAATGACAAAGATTCACCCCTTCATTTACATATTCTGTGGTTTGGGATTATCGCTTGTGGCTCCACCCATGTCCCTCAGTCTTCTGTTTTTACCGTTTCTTCCATTCTGCAGGAGGCCTACTTTATTTTAATCAAATTAAAGGACGGTAGAAACAATTTAAACCTGCTCAATCAATGTACTTTTGACTTTGACTTCAGTTAAAAGTTGAAAGCTTTGATCACATTTCGTAGCTGAAACCACTTCAACTTTATTTGAGGTTCAGCAAATCCTAGTTAATGAATGACAACTTTAGATATTTTAAGTAAAATAATCTTTAAAAATGACTTCAAAACGCAACAAATTAACTCGAAAATAATTCAGGTAAACATTAATTTGTGTTGTTTTACTCCCCTTTAAGTCAAGCTCATCCTGTTGGTCTTTACGGAAGACCTTCTGCAATATTTGTGACGTTTGCGAGATTGAGTCAAAGATTTTATTTAAGAAACTCCAAGCTTATCCATGCAGTTTTTGAACTACACATTTGGGTGGACATGAGCACTTGCAATCTGTTGCTGCCTCACTAATGCTTTTAATCCCTCCTCCCAGTTCAAAGTGCCTGCGATGCCCCTGATTTGTCCCATGTCTAGCCATAGGTGTCTGTGGCTCCCCAGTCAGAGAATTTCAAAGGATTAAGAGGAAAACATATTTCGCTGAGCCAGAGGAACTTTTATTTGCCGTACCAGAAATTAGTTTTTTAAGGATGGAAGAGTAAATATTTTGTTGGTGAAGATTCTCAGTCATCCAGGACATGATGAATTCAAAAAGCGTTCAATAAAGTCCAGTTGTTTTTGTATTGAACGCTTTTTGAATAAATATTTTGTTGTTCATGTAAATGCTAGAGCTTTAACCAGTCACTCTTTTTTTTTTTAACACAAGATGTTGCATGTTGTTCTGTAAAGATTGGTTTCTGGTTGGGGTTTCCTCCTGCTTACCAGCTTCTTTTGGACCTCTAAATCTGAAAGGTTAAGATTAAACCGTTAACAAAATTGAGAAAACTGTTTTTTTCGGTTTTCTGGCATCAGATATTTTGTAATCGAAAACCTGTAGGATCTCATGTGCACCTTCACAGGGAACTCGTTTTATTTCCATCCTGTCATCATCTAAAAGTGTCAGAAATTAAGGCATGCTTTCTTTTACTCGTTTTTAAATTTTTAATAAGAAAACTGAAATTTTGAAATCAGAGTTTGAGGAGTCTTTTCTAATCAATGTCGTCTTAAGATGGATACTCATTTTTCAGACGTAAAGGTCTAAGAGAGTCAAGTCCGTTCTCATTTAACCCACATCTTGATTTCACTTTTTTTTTTTTTATGTTTTAAATGTTCGACTCCCTTCATATCAGCAGGAGTACATATGAAAGTACTTTTCATATTTGAACAAGCTTTCCCCTGATGTATCCTTGTATTACAGTAATCTGGAGATAAACACAGTTTGAATAACATTCATGCCTGAGCTTGTCGGATCCACAAAATTATACTTTGGGCAATGGAGGTAACACAAGTATTTAAATATGTGGTTGAGAAAATTACAGGGTCAGAAAACTACTGATGCTTGAACACCCATAAAACAATTAGAGATGAGTTTAAGAGTGAGACCTTGGTGTTAAAGGAGTTTTAAATGAAACCGTTGGGTAATTTTAGACAAAATCCTGTATATATTGTCCCTTCTAAACCTTTTTATAATCTACATTATGCTTTTTTTAATGCTGCAATTTGCTCAAGTTGTGAAGTAGGATTTGCATTCTTGCTCTAACTTTGCCTCTGAAAATATCCAGTAAACTGACGGCGGGGAAGAATTCATGTGGTATTTGCATAAATGTCAGCTGGCACTTGTATGTTGAGCATGCAAATTCCTCCAGAATTATTTTTGCATGTGATCAGGCCCATATTTATTCTACCACATGCTGTTTATTTGAATATTATCGCCATAATATAAACTGAATGTTCACAAATATCCAAAATGTCATCTATGTGTGTGTATATAATGAAGCAGGCAATTTTTTTCCATCTTTTAAGAAATGAAGTATTCTTATGAGATAAGGCGTTCCACTAAACTCCCACAAACATATTTAATTATGATTCTTTTTAATGATGATTCTAAATGCTGCCTCTGCTTTCCCTTATTTTCCTGGGTGAGACGCAGTTCTCGAGAACAGCTGAGATGTTTAGTTTTCTGTAGATTCTGGTGTTTGAGGGAAGTTAACCCATCTCATTTACTGTGGTAGTGATACATGTAGTTCTATTTCTGGACTGTGTTGGGAAAAGTGAAGAACTGACCATCGCTTGCTGTCTGGTAGACCGTATTTTGAACATGCATCAAATTAGTGCATTGAGCTACTAAAACAAAAACTTGTATCTTCCAGTCTCTCCTGGGTTTTAACCCTGATTCTTTATTAAACTGAGCTAGTTTGTTTGTGACCCACCTTTGGCCTCACTTCAGCCCCCGTGCTTTTATGCTCTGCATCGCTAATCCACAATGGAATGTCCCGTGGTCTAACATCCTCGCTTGTGAGCTCACTTTATCAGTTTTTTAAAAAAAATTTATATCACTTTGCTGCCCCAGTAGGCTTATGATTTTGGTAATCAGAGTTTTGTTTCAGAACATTTGTGAAATCCCCCTTTTTTTTTTTTTAAAGACGACCATCGTTAAGGGGTATTCTTCTTTGTGGGGTTCTGCTCAGCAGTGGTTTGTGTAGAGGCGGTCAGGCATGTCCTGGCACTGATTAGACACAAGTACAGGAAACTGAAAAAAGCCCGGTGCATTTCGCTGCTCCACTAAGCCATGGAACTGGCCGTTGCATTGGAGTTTTTTGTTTTTTTTTAATCTGTCTTGCAGAAAAACATCTTCAAAAATAACACCTACCATCTAATTACCAAATGTACTGTCAACAGTTAAAGAAAACTAAAGGAGGAAAAAAGTTTTTTATTATTAGCGTTAAATAGCTTTTCAGACAGACCTCTATATCGAGTCTTTACAGATTTAATAACCTTTAGTTTGAAACGTGCTAACAGTAATTTGTTAGCACTCTGAAAACGGGGAAACAAGACGGTGAATGAAAAAGCAGGTAAACCAAATACAAGTTTTTGACAATGCATGGACACTTTGGCATTTTAAGGTTAAATTCTTTAGAGGTTTTTCTTTTCTTTTTTTTTCTCAGCTGTGCAGGGCTTTTCCAGTTTTACTAAAATTATCCTCACCTCTTTAGTTTTTTAGGTTAGACCTAGAAATAGCCAACAGGCTGCCAACTGCTTCCAGCAGCCCCTGAGATCTCATGGACTATGAACAAGCCAAATGTAGGCCATTGATTGCTTCCGCAATAACTTAAAACCTTAGGCAGCCAGCACAGTTGTGAATTTAATAGTGAACTGACTCAGTCTGAGTAAGGAAACACAACTGAGTGCCTACACTTTCCTGCTATTTATAACAGGCATGTAAAAATGTCATGGGGACATTATAATGGAGTCCCTGCTCACGTCAGTTTGCTCAACTCACCCAGCAGAGGTGTTTCTGAACAGTCGCATGGAACAAAACGGTTTCCTGTAAACCGATTCTCCATTGTGAGGTAGAAAACTGAAGGCTGTGTTCAGAAACCAACCACTGACCTCAGATTCAACCCTTGAAAAACCTTTTTACAGAGGATTTTTACTTTATGGAAAGACGCCACAGTTGGACAGGACTTGATGTTCCACAGTGAGCCCAACACCACATTGTCCTCAGACACTGGGTTTTTGGTTAATCAGACCTGGGTAATAAACCGCAGGGCTTGTTTGGAGCCAGTTTATTAGGATTTTCTGCCTCTTGAGTCTGAGCTTAGCGTTACTAAGGAGATCAACTCGTTTTCGTGTGTAATTGGTATAAGTAGCATGGAGAGAAGCCACATAAGGAAGAAAACTGGAAATGTTGATTGTGTACTTAAGGAAGTAAACAAACTGAATCTCAGATGTTTCATTCAAGCTGCAGCAATTTATTTCAGTCATCTAGTCCACTAGACAATATGCAATCATAACATTTGAATGTATTCTTTAGAATGGCTTTTTAATATTTCTGCTGCAACAAATCTACATTAGTGCTTTGTGCACAGGTAGTTTTGCAGACCCAGGTTTGTGTCTCCATTTCCAGGTAAAGCCTTTAGGAGATTTATTCCCACAAACATACAAAGTAAGTAAGGGGTTGGTTGCCAGGAGACCGAGGGAAGGAAGACGCATGCATGTAGATGCACTTATGTAACCCTTTTTTTTTTTACATCTTAAAATGCATAAAAAGCTGTATGGCATTGTGCTATATTGAACTGAACATCTGTATTTTTGTGAGATTTGGCATTTTTAATATGGCAACAAGTCAGTGTTGGAAAACTACTGTAGTCTACTTACAAATCTAGGGTGATGCACTTCTTTTGCCGTTTTACTTGTCATAATGCAATTAGTTTAAAGACCGTACCCTTTGTACTGTGTAAAGTTCCCTGTAAACCCATTATTGCTCTGAGGCCAACAAATGAAAACACTTGACATCTGCAAAAGTAGATTTTCATCTGAAAGTCACAAGTGTTTTTATTGTTGACTTTCTGCTCTGTAATCTGAGTGTACTGCCTCGTTAGCAAAATAGTTTTTGTTTAGTCAGTTTTAATGTCCTTAACATGGCCTATATTCAAGAAAAAGACAAAGCTACTTTTTTTTCCCCAGTGAAGTCACCGTGCAAACACTGTTTCAGTCATTTGTTCAAATTACTGTCATTTTGCATCTTTTCTTCTGTCATCTCAAAGCAACTAGGCAGGGGAAATGATTGCTTAGTAAGGAAATTTTATTTTTATTATTGCCATGGCAAATCTAGTTTTTGATGGTGTTTTTATTTACTCCAGGTGAAGGACTTGACCAAGTTTTTGGATCCCAGTGGCCTAGGAGTAATCAGTTTTGGAGACTTCCACCATGGGATTTCTGCAATTAGCAATGGAGGTGAGTTCAATGCATCTCTTAAGTTTTAAGGAATTTCCTTGCTTACGTTAATTATGACCTGTAAAATACTGTATTTTTCAGTCTATAAGGTGCAGGTTTTTTTGCATAATTTGCATGCCCTGCAACTTATGGGCTGAAGCGACATATTTATGGAACCCCCCCATATTTATAAACCAATTTTTGTCTGAGATACGATCGTTTTCCTTCATTCTGATTGAAAATATTGAACACTACCATTTTCAGCCACTAGTCGGCACTCGAGTAGTAAGGCATGCCGTTGTATCATGTAATAGGTAAAAGTGGCTATCGGCTAGCCTGCCACCATCTTCTGCCTGGAGCAACCGAATCAGCTTCACTTCGTTACGCCACCCCAGCAAAATACTGCTGATTTAACCATCAAAGTGCATTTATTAAGTAAAAGTTCAACTGAGACACACATTTACTATAAAGTCGAGCTAACAAATAATTGTTTTTAGGTGGTCGTTAAATTTCGAAGAAATGCACAGCGAGTTGTCCCTCTGCGCATGCACACTTGCACATATCAGCTTTTGAAAATGCAGCTGATTTGACTGTCAAAGTGCATTTATTAAGGAAAAAGTAGACTGAGACACCTTTTACTATAATTTCTAGCAAACAATAATTTTTAAGTGTTAATCTTGTTTAATTCTTCTTAGTCCTCCCATGTCAGCGGTGCCACATAATAGATGTGACTTATATGGCGAAGCAACATATTTATGGATTTTTCCACTTTATTAAACATATTTGGACAGATGCGACTAATAGGGCGGTGCGACGTGTATGGTGGAAAATACGGTACTTGTAGTCTGAGACCTGGACATTTGACTACCCAGTCGGTATTGTGACCCTTCTATCAATATTTATAAGTAATTGATAAACGTTAAAAAATTATTTTTATTTGTATGTAACAAGACCTTCATTTATTTTTTTTTTTTTACATCAGTTTTACAGTCATTAAATGAAATTGACAAACTATAAAGTAAAATGCCAGATTTGGATTTCCTTCAAAGACTGTTGTAGTTGTGTACACCACCCACCTGGTGTTTAACACACTGAGGACATGACAAAGCTATCTCAACGGTACAATTGATGCCTCAGTCCATCCGTCCTATTGATTTCTAGGTCTCCTTCCTGAGGCTTTTTGGGTTACTCAGCTCTGGTTACGCAGCTCATTAATAAGTTATTCGCTTGAACGCGAGAAACACACAGACACATGGGCTGACTGGCGAGGTTTCAAAGCAGGAATGGCAGAGATGAGGTTTGAGCCGAGTGTCCTATTCGCTTTAATAATTTACCGTCCTGCCCTCTTTCTGTCCTGTTTCAGACTTGTCTCCTCTTAGTCGTTGCATTTGTAAAAATCACAGTAAAAGCAGGAGACATTCCTTTACTGTCATATGTGGACACAAATATACTTATCTGAGAAAACTGAGTTATAAAATGATTTTGTTTTCAGTGACGGATGAGCTTCTCATCCCCTCACATTTTCTGTTTTAATACTGCCAGAACATTATACTACAAGAGGTCATTCTCCAGTGTCTATATTTTACTGGGTTTGCTATATGTGCCGAGGTGACCGCTGTCAAAGATGTACCCCTTTGTTTTTGTTAGACTGTTTACCTGACGCACGTATGAATCTAGGCTTTAACTGTTTGTTCCATGTTCCTTTTTGCCAGTCGCTTGACATTTACTGGAAAAGTTTCCCACCACTGTAATATCAGATGTTTTATACTGTAGCTCCCCAAATCGCTCGTACATTAGCAGTAAAGTTGAACTCCGCTGTTTTACTTCCAAACAGTTTATCAGTTGATCTACCAGATCTTTTTACAACTATTGTGATGTGAAAAGAAACTAGAACCTGCTGTACCTACTTAGGAATTAGTTTCAGCACAAGTCTTATTGCGTTCCCCCCCCCCCCCCCCCCTCCTTGATTTAATTTCTGTCTCGGTTGCAAAGGAAAGTTTTCAGTTAACATATAGACGTGCCTGCAGGCTGTGGAAATGCCTTACACCCTGCAGTGGCTTTGGTATGTCCTGAACAACAAAACTGGGTGGAGTGTGTATGTGACTGTGTGCCAGGAGGCTGCAGGTGTTGTTTAGGATAAAACCACTTCTCAATACATTTCAGTCTAACGGCCTGTCTGCAGTGTTTTTTGTGGCTCAAAAGTAAAGGGTTACATAAGTCCCAGGGCACCAAACTCCTCGAGTCTGCTGGAATACTGGAATCACTTTGTTCTTTCCTCCCAGCAGGGTGCTATTCACAGTTCTGTTTACTAGATACAAGAGCTGCAATGGCTGATGGGACTTTCGATGGTCCATCTCAGGTTACACTGCTGGTACTTCCAGTAGAGAGCCTTTATTGATGAATGTACATGTGAGCTGGGCTTTCAGGAGATTTTGACTGCCTGGGCTCTCTGGTTTTGTGGAAACGTGAGCGTAAAAGTTGCACAATGTTTACTGTCACATCGCTGACCATAAATGTGCTTAAGTAGGGCAGTTAATGCTCAAGGTATTGCATGAACATTTGCTTACTGAAGTGGCCTTATTGAAGAGAGAAAATGCTTTTCTTCCAGTCAAACGTGCTTTTTGAATGACTTTTATAAAGGATGCCACTTTACTGGAAAATAAAGTGGGTTGTAAGCCATCGTCTAAGTAACGGATAACATTGCAGCTGGTTTTGTTTATTTTCTAGGCATTATTTTTTAATCCAAGGGAGAATTTTTTTTTTTTTTAATTATTAAATCGATCTTTTTATTGATTTTTAATCTTTTTTTTTTTTTTTTAAAGATGCAAACAAAAAGGAGAACACAAAGAACAAAAAACCCTCCCACCCCAGATCAGTCACTCACATGCAAATAAACTAAACAGACATTGACAAGTTTTCCACATTGTGGTTTTTAATAAAACTACCGGTACTCTGTTCTTGACAATTTGTCATTGTCATACTTTTTTTTTTTTCTTCTCCCCCCTCAGACCCTGAAATGTTTTTTTTTTTTTTTCTAATTCATATTACGCCACATTCATTTGTATGTCCTCAAATACATTATTTTTCTGAAATTCAAATTTGATGCAAAATTGAGGTTCCGATTGTGATATTTATCAGTTCGATGTTATACATCTGGAATACTGAGCAGTGCCCTGAGATGACTTCTGTTGTGACTAAATAAGCTGAATTCAATTAATAATACAAAGATGAAAAGTTTAGCAGTACACTTTAGTGTGGTGCATTTTTCAACCAAACTTACAAGCTTATTGCATAGTTTTTTTATATTTTCAATATTTTATTCATATAGCCAGTTCCTAATAGAAGTTTTCTCAGGGCATTTGAGCACATCACCATGCTGAGACACCTTAATGCACCTTTTTCTGCGTGCTGACCGCCTGTTTGCACAGTGACGTCTGTTCTGTTTACTTCAGGTTTGTTTGTAGAGTCTCCGTTACTGCTGGACTGTTTGTTCGGCTCACATTAAACCTGTTCCTGCTCTCATATTTCCAGGCCCCGAGCCACAGCTCTACAACGTAAACTACAGTCCAGGGGATGGAGCTGTGGGCTGTCCTGAGGAATACGATGAGGTGAGGTTCCAACCGGGAAGCTTAGCCACTCGTTCGTTTGTTGTTTTTCTAAATGCGCTTCCAGTCTAATCGTGCATGCAACAGAACAGTACGAAGGCTATCAGCTGAACTCTCCGTGCACTCTTGACTTGTTCCCGCTGTAAATCACCGAGTGGCTTTGCAGAACTATCATTACCTCCCTGGGAGCGCTCCACAGACTGAACATGCTGGTTTGGCTGACACAAAATAGCAACTGGCACTCAAGGCTTTTGTGTATTCTTTGACAACTATCGAACCGGCTGGAATGTGCAGGAGTTCCTGAAAGTGTGTGGACTTGTGTTTTTACAGTTGTGGTTGACATTTCTGGAATAGTTCTCTCCTCTTGTGCACATAACTTATATATTTAACTACGAGTATTGCCGACCTCTGCAAGGTTAAAAAACTTTGTGTCCTTTCAGTGTTGGAAATTTACTTTTGGTTTTATCTGTATAGTGTCAGCGCCCCCTCTTGTTATGTTTTCAACCTGCAGGTGCTGATAAATGTGTTCAAGGGGAGGAAAGCTTGCATTACTTGCTGAGAACTTTATTAGATATACTGCAAATTTGTATGTTTTTATATATATATGGATAGTTTTTTTTATTTACAGGTGTTGATGCACAATTTACTTAGATGAAAATATATTAAAAATAGGCATAAAAATGTCTTAAAATTGCATGTTGTCGTTGATAAAGTGAATAAACTCTGGAAATAGCTCTTTCTTTTTTTAACACAAAATATTCCAGCTGCTTTGGTTGCCTTCTTTCTGAGAAGTTTTAGCCTTTTTCATGTGCATGCCACCACACCTGTGTTTGTGGTCTTGTTTTTTCCTCCCCCTCCATACATTTTTGGCAGAAAAGGGTTCCTCTCTCAATGGCGTTGCTGTTCTGTTGCTGTTTGCTTTCAAAACAAGCAAGGTGAGAGTGTTCAGCTGAATCTGGCATGGGAGAGCTAAAACGTTCATCCAGCCCACTTCTACTCATGTTCACTGGCCGATTTTGCCTGTTTCTATCTCAAAATGTAACTCCCAATTGTAATCATGGGGTTTTCACACACGATAACCAGCGCTTGTTATCAATGTTCCAAAACACTGTTATCTGTGTTGACGGCACGTTTGTTTCCTAGTGGTACACACTGTGATGTTTAATCCTCGTTCGCTGTAGCTGCAGGTCTGTAGAACATGACTTAATGTTGTTGACACGGGAACAGGAAGTGTAGCGGCAGGAAAAATGAATGTCGTTCAGCTGATTGTGTGGCGTTTTTACCTAAAAGCTGGCAGGAGTGGATTGAGCGTTACAGCTGACTTGTGTTACTCTTTGGACTTTGTCTCTGTCTCCACCCCTCTGACCACCCAGTGAAGCTGAACGAGGCGTCGCACTCGTTTCCATTTTTCCAGCGTACTTTCTCTGTTACGCTTTCTGAGAGGGAAAGGGCGAAGGCTTTAGTGAAGTTATTGGTCGGCTCTCAGTTAAACGGGGCAGAATGGTTTTGGATACGATGAATATCTCTCTGAGTCCGTCGTCTGCTGATACTTCATGTAGACTGGTACGTTATGCTTTCAATATGAGTCACCTTTGTTGCGTTTTATTGAGTTACAGCTCTGAAACCTGAGGATGTCTCTAATTGCTGCAGATGCTCAGTTTTTTTTTTTTTTTTTTTCTTGAGTGGGAATGTCAGCTTAATTTTTCCATGTGAACTTTTTTCAAGGTGTTAAAGCTTTGCTTTGAAACTGTCACCTGAACGTGAAAACAACCCGCTGACTGCACTGCACATTGAGCCATGTTTTTAATAGAAGGGTTTTTTCAGTCCTCGCTTTTTGAGCAACTGCTGATTTGAAACTGCAAATAATAAATTACCCACGTTCTTGTTGTAAATTGTTAAGATTATGATGGATTAATGTGAATTCTGATGATCTTGTTTGTTTGTCGCTGCAGCAAAATGAGGTAACGGACAGTGCCTACCTGGGCTCTGAGAGCACATACAGTGAGTGTGAAACCTTCACTGATGAGGACACCGGAGCTCTTGTACCTCCTGAAATGCACGAGGACGTGGAGACGGACAGTGGCATAGAAGCTACGCTGCACGATCCTGAAGATGGTGGAAATAGGTCCGTAAATGTTTGACTTCAACTGTATTTCTTATTTCTCCTGTATACACATTTCCAATCAAAACTTCAGGCACATGCTCCCACTTATTTTGAACCAGCTGTTTATTTTGCTTTACATGAGGCCGACTGGGATCCTGAGTTGCATTCGAGCCCAAACAATCCGACCCGGCCCCAGCCCGTAGCAATCATTTCCGAACCCCACCCGACCCGACGAATTAACAGTAATTACAGTTCTGATCCCGAAAAAACCCCAGACATTTTTAATTAAGCTTCGACTGCTTATAATTATTAATGGTCGGTGGACGCGCGGACTGCGGTAAAGTTAGTTTTACGTTGGACATTCGAGCTCCGTGGCTTCAGCAGTGTGTTCTTCTCCTTCGAGTTCAGCTGACCGAAATCAGGCTGCCTGCATCGGATCAAACGAGAGGAACACACCGCTGAAGCCACGGAGCTCGAATGTCCACCGTCCAACGTAAAACTAACTTTACTGCGGTGATGTGCGGCTGAATAAAAGAGGCAGAAGATCGGAGCTGAGGCGGTGTTTGTCCTTTCATGGCTGTCAAAGTGCATTAAAACCCTGTTTCTGCCTTCATTTTGCATTATTCAGACACGGACCCTGCTCTGACATGTCTGCTTTGGGATCTCACTTGTTTGGGTCGTCGGCCGCGCACGTCCACTGAGTGCAGCAGCTGAATGAACGTCCATTTGGGCGATGGATCACTGCCTGGCAGTACAGTCCCATCTGAAGCTTAACTTTATTTTACCTCTTTCAAGGCCGGTCAGCTCGCGATGAAATGGTCGCGTGTGGCTGGTGAAGGTATGCCAAGCCATGTTGCCATATAATTGGATTTTATGCCAAACCATGTTGCCATATAATTGGAGTTTATGGCAAGTCATGTTGCCATATAATTGGATCACAGCTGATCCTCTGATGCAATCAAAAGCCCGACACTGACCCGGCCCGCCCATCCAGCACATTATCATGGCCCGGCCCGCCCCGACTTTGGGTCAGGTCATGCTTCAGTCCTGGGTTAGAAATGACAGCTCTAATCCTGAGTGACTTTTGTCAAGCGTACGGTGACTGTGGTAATCTCTGTCATAATGTGGTGAGATCACCACAAATGTTTTATTTGTTATTATTCCTCCAAAATGTAAGCTCTGCAGCTTCCCTGCTCGGAGTTTTCACACCAATCACAGGATCACCAATGGACTGCATGACCAGTCCTGGATCTCTTGGGTTCTATTTGGGTCACCGGGCAGATTAAACCGAGGCAGTAGACTGCCACCACTACAATGACTTATTGCCTTTAATTCCCTTATGTACACCAATCTGTAGAACATTGTAGTGCGCCTCTTGTGTCTGCAGCATATTTTCATCTAGTCTATACTCTTATAATGCAAAGACTTGTATATTTCTACAGATGGGCTGCAGGGACATTCACTGCTGAGGTTTCCTGACAGACTAAAAGCTTATTAAAATACCTCTAACTGTACTTAGCAAGCATAAGAAATTTAAAGCAATGAAGCCCTTCTGCTGTTTTTCACCCACCCTGTTTCAAATCAAAGATTATCTTATTTTCCTTGAATATAAAATGAGGCATGCACTTTACTATCATTCTGAGGCTGTGAGGAGTTAATGTTGACCATCAGTAGTTTTATGTTGTGCTCTTCTCATTTTGCAACAATGTGATGTTACATGTTTTATAAAAAAGACTATTAGCTTTCCATTTACAGCTGCAATGGTTTTCATTCATGTTAGTTTATGCTCCATAGACTGTACTTTTTAATGGAAGTTGGTATATCTGCTTATTAGACTGAAAAATGTCCAGTTATCACATCCTCCTCCACACCAGCTCTACCAAGAATCTTTTAAAGTTGCATTCGACCGAATTTGCTGTTTTCAATCAGTACCTGCTGCAGACTGAATTTCTCCGTCTGCACATTCGTGTCCTTGCTGAAAGCCTTTTGGCCAAACATGCGAGGAAGTTCCGCACTCTGCATCTGCTGACTGGGTGACCCGTCCATCCGGCTTCATGACAGACTGGAGTACTCTGCTTGACATGGAAGCGTTTAGACTTCCCAGTCCATGTGCGAGCCGTGAATTCCAGGAAGTGTCGATTTAGCTTTTTTCTTCCTCGTTTTCCATTTTTTGATTTGCTTTGGCAAAGAGTATTCTAATTCGTTTTATACCTTATTCACTTACTCATACCATTATTGTGCTAAGTCTGCACTGTGTGACTCTGACCTTCACATGCTCCAAATCCAGGCGTCTGTTTACCAAACATTGTGCGTTGAAGTTTTACTAGAATGTTCAGGCTTTTCATTTTATCAGTGCCTTCATCAGTTGTGGTCTTCAACAGAGAAAACCTTCTTGAACGTTGAAGGTGTGTTGTCTTATGAAGATGGATGAATGTCAAAAAATGGACGTTATGGCTGAACTGAAGTTCAACACTGTGTCCCGTTCAGCTGAGTTACTCTTAACTACACACTGCACCAAATGAGGCATTAAGAATAGGAGCAAATACACTGAGCTGCAGATTAGGTTTCTAACAGGATTAGTGCATCTGTCCCCACACACACTTGGCTCTTGAACAGTCAGCAGGACTGTCTGTCAGTTGTTGCTGAGCCTCAAATCTGATTAAGACAATGGCAGTCAACCCTTTACCGGTTCAGCCTCAATCTGTGGGGTGGCCGTGGAGAATGGCAGCTTGTTAGGAAAAACTCTTTTGTTGTTGTTTTTCCCCAAACTGGAGAGCCCGTGTTTTGGTTTAAATTAGCGTAACCAGTAAAACTTCAGGATTCCACTTTGGTTGTCAGGAGTTTTAACTCCAGTTGCCCCGAGGCTTTCACGCCAGGGCAGCGGAGGGCGTTTAAAGATGCGGTCTCTTTCTTCACCATCTCTAAATGTGAGGGACCTCAATAAGGGGCCATGTTGTAAAAAACAGGGTAAAGGGTAAGTGAGTGCACAGTTTGCTACTAATAATGCCTGTGTTTTCTGAGGTGTGCTGAAGCTAAAGTTGAATCGTTGGTTTGATAAACGAGATTAAATAGAGCGCTTGTTTTTAGATGTTTTCTGTTTAATCAGGCATTACTCATGTTTCAAAAATGTGAGCAAAACACTCATCTGCTGAACAAGCAAGTTCTTTTTTTTTGCAGAGTTTGACATCCTCATCCTGTGTACAACAGGAAAGGCAACCTTTCGTTTCAGTTAAACAAAGACTAAACGACTCTTAATTGAAATTTAACCTGAAGTTACGCCTCGTCTTTAACGCCAACCCACAGGCAGCTGCTCAGTTGTGTTGTTAAACCAGTGAGGCCAACTCTGAGCCTTTTCTTCATCTTAACCTGCGGCGGCTGCTTTAAAATGTCTTTCACGTTGAAATCAGAGTCTATTGTTGCAAGTAAAGCACAAAACATGCTTCAGCTAAAGCAGCCTTTGGGATTATTGTGAATTAAAAGATTACCTTTGAAGACTAGCGATTGAACTTGTCCAGATTGTGGCTCTTCTGGGGAAAAAAAATAATTGTTTCTGTTTTGAGATTTAAATTAACGCCTTGATTGATGTTGTGCCTTGATTAGTTTTACTGTAGTTGTAGTTTCTTAAATTCATAATTGCCTCTCGAATACAGTTTTTAACCACTCTGACCTTTGTAAATGACCTCTTGTTCAAAGTAGGACCCAAGCTTGTGTTGTTGTTAGCACGCTTGCTAACAGAATCTCCCATGCCTCGCAGGTTTTCCCTAAACTCTGAGCTCCACAACCACTCCCTGGTGACTGTGATCGGTGGAGAGGAGGAGCACTTTGAGGATTTTGGGGAAAGTAACACATCTGAGCTGCTGCTGGAGACCAGCGTGGACGGCTCTGTGGTCGAAGGCGACTCCCTCATCGCACAGACCCCTGAGCAGGTCAATGGCTCGTTGCTTCTGTCTCCCAGGTATGAGCTTCACAACTAAACTTTCACTGCCAAGATATTCTCAAAATGTGTTGGGGTTTTTTTGTATTGTGTTACCAAACTCTGTACGATTAGAAAGCTAAATTTAAATAATCACCCAAAAGGATTTTTTTATTTTTTTCAAACTGTGAAACCACTTTTTTTTTTTTTTTTTTTTTTTTTTTTTATCAGTCCTTTTTGATAAGACACTGTTGCATTCTGAGCTGCACAATTTCACCTTAGATGCTTTTCTTCACATTCTTCAGAGGAAAAAAAAAAGTTTCTTTATAAGAAAGACAGAGGTCAAATGTTGATTAAAATCTATCTGGAGACGTCCCTCTCACTCCTGTCTGCCTCCTGTTTTTGTCCAAGAGATAAGGTGTAAAAACATGTATCTGAAAATGAGCATATGTAGCTAATGCTGTCGTTTTATGACCCGGGTTTGGATGTTCGGCGCTAGCTTGAGTCATAGATTTACAGTCAGTGTTACAGGTGGCATCTGTTGCGTTCTGGGACAGACAGAAGTGGACATGGAGTTCAGACATCTTGAGAGGGCATTGTCCCTTCTGTCACACAGATACAAGCTGACTAACTGTGTCATGTGTCAGCTGCAAAACAAAAACAGTTGTTTATTTTGAATGTTTGGCTCTTTGCTGCTCAGTTTTCCCCTCATCCTTTTTTCCTCTCTGAGACTTTAAGCTGGATAATGCGTAATTCCCACTTGCAAGTTTATTTTTTATTTTTTATGTGTGTCATGCCAGGAATCTATTTTAAGCTAACTGCCTAGTTTTTGTAACCTACTGGCATTATGGAAATAAGCTGGTTTCATCTATCACACTTCTACAGCCTCTGTTATTTTCTGGTGTTCGTGAAAGTCATTGTTCTCATCACAGCAGGGCTAACACAACTGATAGATGGATATATTTATTGATCCTCGAGAAATATAAAGAAGTTTAGAAATAAAAGATTAAACTTGTTGAGCTAAAATGTTCAGTTGTATGAGTTCAGCCACTTATTTTGTTTTTACTAAAGTAACCTGTTGGATCTTGATATTCAAATTATGAAAGTAGAAGGTGAAAAATAAACTTAGTTTTTCTTTAATCAAGTTGTTGGGAGTGAAAGCAGACTCATTCTATGTACTTGCCATAAATGTCTGAAAACATTATTTCTTATGCAGCCTAATTAAAATTTTCCTCGGCGTTCACGCTGAAAATTTTACACACTCTCAAAAATAACTGCATCCCACGAACTTCACCCACTCGGTGTGAATGCGTCACTGTTTGGAGCCAGCCCGTGCTCCGCGTTGTGCATGCAGCGGTGCTGCCTACACACACGCCCACATCTATCTGCACGTTGCAGCACCGAACACGCGTACAAACACGACTGGCTTACTTTGGTTCTGCACAAACGCGCGTCGCTGTAGACATCGTTTAACGAAGTGTTCCTTCGCAGCCTTGGGAGAAAGTGACTCAGTGTGACGGTGCGTATGGAGTGACCCTCAGTCTGTCCTGTAAGGCAGTTTGTTTTCTGCCTGCATAAACGGAAACATGTGCCAGTTTTTGATTAATTCAGGACAGAACAGTCTGCTCATAAAGTGGACAGACTGACTCCCAACAGAATTATAACCTTTTTGTTTGTTTTTTGTTTGTTTGCTTCAATTGGATGAGTTTAATTTGGACTTCCCTGTACTGTAGGTTATCAACTCATCTGCAAAGACAAAATGGGATTTATGTTTCATGTTAGGATAGTTTTTCAAGTACAGTCACTTGTTTATTGCGGGGGTTACGTTCCAGTAGGCCTGTCACTATAACACATTTTGCTGGGCGATTAATTGTCTCAGAAATTATTGCGATAAACGATATTTGGAATTTTACAATAATGTTGGTTAATTTGTGTGTGTAGTACCTTTATTTAATTTTATTTTTTTTGGACCACTGGATGGCAGTATAAGACTGTTTGAACCGAAGGATGGATAGTGAGGGAGCGAGCAGCGTGTCTCTTTAAGAAAAATGGGAGGGAGGCCACTTGACGTAACATGGGCTGTGTCTCGCTACTTTTTTATTTTGGTTCTCAAAATGGCAGACGCTCGGTGTGGTTTGAGCTCTTTAGCATAGCATTTTTCACACAAAGCTTTTATTAAAAAACCAGTAAACAAGATCTCAGCTTCTTTTTGCAGAGAAAAACAACTTTAGGCGAAGGCACGGGTTTCAACTATGAATTATGGAGCTTTGACAAGACGGAGGTTTTTTTTCCCCCGAGGCCAGCCTGTTAGCTTAGCTTGTAGCTTAGCTTCTTAGCTTAGCTGCTTTTAACAATCCAAAAACGCAATTGTGGATTTTTAAAACAGATTTTAAAGAGAAAAGAAAGGGAGGAGTTGGTGAAGAGCACCGGAGTTGAGCCTTTTGTCATCCAGTGTCTTCAGTAGAACGAGAGACACGAAGAAACGATAAGACGATAAATGAAAATGAGGTTGATTATTTTCTTTACTCATGTGATTGATTTATTGTTTATTGCGACAGACCTACATTCCAGACCCCCACCCCCCCCCCACACACACACACACAT